CCCAACAACATTTGTTGAAGAAATTTTTTCCATCTGGATATTCTTTCCTTCTTTGTTCAAGATTAATGGACCATATAGTTGTGGGTTCAAGATTTCCTTTTATGTGGCTTTTTTCTTTTAATAAAATATAGTTGGTATTTTTATTTTAAAAAAGATTGCAATACTGTCCTTTAATTATATTGGTTAGAGATGACATGGCATATAAAATTTTGTTTTTGATATATCTGTTGGCTGATTTGACTAGGATACCTAGGTCTTAGACTTTATATGAACTCTCTAGATTATAACTTTGCCTAGAGCTTCCTGCCTCCACCCTTTCTGCTTAAACAAAAAGCTGCCTCAACTTTCCTGTTACGGAAACATTTGACAAAGTTTGCTGTTTCAAGGTTCCTCTAGCACTTTTTAGTGTGCCCCCTCCTGTTTTCACCAATCACCTTCCCAAAGTATTTATATGTAAAAGCTTTGTTCACCCATCCTTTCCCTCAGACTTCTGAGTTAGTCTTTCAGTATTTCCTTATTGTCAATTGTTCCCCTCTATTGTAATCGTCTTTTCCAGTGAAGTCTCTCCTTGTATACAATTATTTTTAAGAGGTAAATAGTTTTATTAGCTTTTTTTTCTTTGAGACCATAGTGAAAGTAATGACCTAGCTATTTTTATTTTTTTTATTTGAGTGTAGTCAATGCACAATGTTACATTAGTTTCAGGTGTACAAACCCACAGCTAACATGATACTCAATGGTGAAAAACTGAGAGCTTTTCCTCTAACATGTGGAACATGACAAGCATTTCCACTCTAGCCACTTTTGTTCAACATAGTACTAGAGGTTCTAGCCACAGAATCAGACAAGAAAAAGAACAAAGGAAATAGACATTCATGTTGGTGACGAAGAAGTTAAACTGTCACTCTTTGCAGATGACATGATACTATACATAGAAAATTCTACCAAATACAACACCAAAAAAGTACTGAAACTGATAAATGAATTCAGTAAAGTTGCAGATTACAAAATTAGTATCCAGAAATCAGTAGCATTTCTATACACTAATAATAAATAGCAGAAAAATACATTCAGAGAACAATCCCATTTGCTATCACACCAAAAAAAAAAAATACATAAGAATAAACTTGAGCAAGGAAGTGAAAAAATCTGTACTCTGAAAACTAAAACACTGATGAAAGAAACTGAAGAGGACACAAATGGAAAGATATTCCATGTTTATGGATTGGAAGAAATAATGTTGTTAAAATGTCCATTTTAACTATCGGTCTACAATTTCAAAGAAATGCCTTTCAAAATACCATCAGTATTTTTCTCAAAACTAGAACCATATTACCAAAATTTCTACAGAATCACAAAGTACCATGAATAACCAAAGTGATATTGAGAAAGAAAAACAAACTAATATTGAGAAATAAAAACAAAACAAACAAGTTCAGATTCCAAGACATACTACAAAGCTGTAGTAATCAAAACAGTATGATACTGGCAAAACAACAGCAACAACAACAACAACAACAACAACAACAACAACAACAACAAACCCACAGAAACTTAGAATAGAAGAGACTATAGAGCTCAGAAAATAAACCCATGTTTATATAGCCAATTAATCTATGACACAGGAGGCAAAAATAAGAAAAAGAATCTCTTGAATACATAGTTCTGGGAAAACTGGACCACCTTCTAACACCATACACAAAAATAAACTCAAAATGGATTAAAGACCTAAATGTGACACCTGAAACCATAAAAATCCTAAAGAGAACACTGGCTTTGTGTTTTACTTGACAGAATACTTCTATTTAGTAAAAAAATAACATAATAGGCTTTAGTCTATCATCTTATAATTTGTTTTCTAAGATTTTTATCTGCTTTTGTATTTATATTTTACCCCTTTTGCTCTCTTGGAAAATTCAGTTTTTCTCCTGTATTAGGTTTTTATTTTTCCTTGTATTATATATCATTATTTAGTTGTACCTTATGTTATTTCTTCCTTATTAGATTTTTAGATGCTCTGTTCTTTTATTATTATTTTATCAGTTATACTACCAATTTCAATATGCATCAATGACATATTGCAGTCTACTTTAAATTAGTACTTGTCACTTCCCCTAAAGGCAAGAAACTTCCAGTAGTTTAACATTATTTATTCCCCTTATTCTATTTTTGCTTTTAAGATATAGAATATTTTATCTCACATGTTATAAATCCCACAATATTTAGTATTAATGTAACATTGATTTCTACTTACCCATATATTTACAGCTTGTTGTACTTTTACTTATTTTTTGAAGTTGCTTGATTTCATCTGGAGATTAGTTTTCTCATAGGAAAGGTCTATAGCTTTGAAGTCTCAAAATTTTTTTTTGTGGGGAGACATTAGAAACATCTTTATTTCGCTTACATTTTTAAAGGTATTTTCACTGATTATAGACTCAAACAGTTCTATTTTACTCTGCTCCAGTTTGGAAGCTGCCCTAAAAGAAACAGCTACAGGCATGTGGGTTGCAATTTATGATCTTTCCTTATCTCAAGGTGATTCACTCTGGTTGATTGTCTGGTACAATTATTTTATAACTATTGTATAGGTATTTAATTGGAGGAAGAGCAAATCTGATACCTAATTCTCCATCATGGTCATATTCAGAGGCCTTCAAACTTTCTTTATACTCAAATTCATCTAAGGCATTTTATCTATTATTTAAAATTTTGCAATGTTTAATTACCTAATGAAGAAAGACTTAAATAATATATATATTATTAATAAATAATATATATTATTTAATTATATATTAAATAATTAATTATTTATATAGTTAATATTTAATTATATTAATTAATCAATATTCAATTATATTAAATATATTTAATAAAATATATATTTAATATAATTAAATATATATTAAATTATATATTATTTAATATTATATATTATATATTATATATAATTTATTATATATAATATATAATTATTATATATATTTAATAATATATAATTATTAAATAATATATATATTAAATAATATATATAAATAATATATATGTATATATAATGTATACATAATAATATATATACAGACTTTTTACTTCCTTCTTGATGTTGAGGATCAGTGCTGGTTATAATCTAAACAAATGGTCAATATCACTGTCATATTCAACCTCTGAATGCTTGAATAATTTGGAGGGATAAAATGTACACTTGTAAATTATGCTTCAACTGAGCAATACTGTTTTATTGATAATAATTAAATTAAATTTATTTTTTTTTAAAAATTTTTTTTTTCAACGTTTATTTATTTTTGGGACAGAGAGAGACAGAGCATGAACGGGGGAGGGGCAGAGAGAGAGGGAGACACAGAATCGGAAACAGGCTCCAGGCTCTGAGCCATCAGCCCAGAGCCCGACGCGGGGCTCAAACTCACGGACCGCGAGATCGTGACCTGGCTGAAGTCGGATGCTCAACCGACTGCGCCACCCAGGTGCCCCGATAATTAAATTAAATTTAGAAGAATGTTTCATAAAAACACGGTGAAATTATAATATTTATCATAGGCTTGATTCATTTTTTAAAATTACTATGCTTATGTAAAGAAAAATTATATTCATAAATATATATATATATATATATATATATATATATATATATAAAATTCCAAGTTTTCTATTTACATGTAGACACACAAACACATCTGCACATATATCTTGATAAATGATTAAACATTTCAAACATGTTCAAGAAAACATTTCCTTTTTATAAATACATGGGACTGATGTCATGTGAGTTTTCATTCAATAAGCAATAGTTTTCATTCAATCAGCAATAATTGTAACAAAAAATAATATTGCCAGGGGCCATTATTTGAAAAGAAATCATTGTAACCAAGAACAATAATATTAGCACTACCTTTGTCATAAGCACTGGAAAACTGTTCCCTAAATGGAGAATTTCTATGATTCTCTTCTTTTTCTATTTTATTCTAAAGGAACTATGTGTCATCATGAATTATTTATATTGTGCAAGGGATACAGGAAGAAAAGAATATAGTGTAACATTTCTGTAAAAGACATTTCAGAATTTTAAAGGGAGAATAAACCACATTTCTATAGATCTGAGTATATTATCACTTCAACACTTGAAAATAGATTGAATGCTTAATATTATTACAGAAATAAACAAAATGTAAGTTTCATTTTATAGTCAAATTAAATTGTGCAACCTTATCATTAGAAAAATATAAGCACCCAATAAGAATCAAACTTTCCCACCAATAATTTCAAAATATGACTTAGTTATATTCCAAAAGCTTCAATAATAATTAGTGAATCAAAGAAATTTGACATATGTTTCTTAAGTTAGCAATCAGTCCTTATTAATTTTTGTATCCTTAGTCTCACATAATATCTCTCACTTAAATGAATGAATGAATGATGCCAAAATGAACAAATAATTCTTGAGCTAAATTTACTCCTGCAAGACCATTTGTCTTGTTGATCAGTTCTTGCTTCATATTTCTATTACCTTTAAGTACATTAGTGTGACACAATGTCAACAAACAGTTTTATGACTGACCTAAAACACATAACTTAGCAGCAAAAATTTAGTCAAGAGCATACTTTAGTAATGTATTAGCAGTAGAGTAATAAAAGTAGAAGCAACAGCAGGAGCAGCAGTAGTAAAAATAACAAAAGTAATAGCTTATTTATAGAACATATATGTGACAAGAATGGTTTAATTGCTATAAATGCATTATAATATTTCATATTTTTATAAGTATGAGCATTACTTACATTAATGTTCTTCTTATAAAGAGAACTGAGGTCTGAAAAAGTTGAATACAATAATCCAAATGTCATAAAAACAATATATAACACAGCCAGTATTGAGCTCAGGTATACTAGGGTTTTATACTCTTAATTAATCATTAGTATATAATAGTGCAGGTCTATGGGGATGTATGGAGAGATAGATAGCTAGATAGATAATCTGAAGATAATACCTTTTTCAAATATCTAGAAACAAGCAGGAAAGAGTGTTTTCAGTTCAGCATTTGATGAATCATTTTCACACAAATTAGTTTCCAATGAGTCAGGAAATACATCTAGGAAATGAGAAAAAAAAAACACAATTGTAGAAACTTGGTTAATGAAGCAATTATGGTGAAAATATATCACATGAATCATGGTGAATGAAACATTTAGTGATTTACAGTATTTAGAGATTTACAAAAATCTCTGGGTATTTAATTAAGGAGCACCATATATGGCCACATGTGAACACCTGGGATGCAATGAAACAATTTGGGGGAGGATGACTTTGTAGGAAGGCTGATTGTGCAAACAGAGATTCACACATAGTCAAGACAGTGGAATATTGTGGGATATAAGATTCACCTATGAAGGCCAAAAGGCTTGTAACAATATCAGATATGGTACTGACCTTTAAATATTATAAACGACCACACTGTATTACCATGCATTCAATTTCGCCAGCCTAAGTGTGGTGAGCAACCTCATTATCTATTTAGGCTTCATTTAATAAAGGCTAGTGTTCAATGAGCTATTCTATTGGGTGGGATATTGATACCTGAAAACGATGTTTTTAGTTGGTCATCATGGAGAGACCAGAGCATTCTTAACACTGTTGAAATGTCCTGTGTTTTTTTTATGTGAAGAACTTTGATGTGGTTGACTGGGAACTGATGAAACACCACTATATCTCAAGGTCTAGATCCTTGTGAATGAATGAATGGGATCCTTGAGACATTAACTATGAGTATATATGAAGAATAGACATTATGGTGTGTGTATAGAGTAGGAGTTGGGAGTCAGGGGGAAGGGAGAGGAGGATGGAGAGTTTGAAGGTGAGTGCTGAGCATGTAACTTAAAAAGGGATAAAAGACCCAGACTATGTAGGGAATTTGGGGTCATATTAAGTATTTTGGATCTTAAATCTGAGAACAATTAAATGTCATGAATGAAAGTTCCATTATTTATTTTAGAGTTTAAATATTATTCCTTATGTTTTACCAGTTGCTTTTCACATCCTTTGTTCCTCTCATATCTCTCCCCATTTGTGCTCTCCCATGACTACCTCATCTCCTAATTTGACAACCACTTAATTGTCTTCTCCAGCTTTAACTCCTTTCTTTGCTTGTCATATCATGTCATCTGCATTACTATCTATTGTCTATTTTGTCAACTCTTAGAGAGAAACAGTAAGTAGTATGAAAAACACTTGGGTATTTTCTAGGCTCTTTGATTTACTTTGTATTTTGGTATTAAATTTACCCTTTTAAAAAATCTGCTTCTAAGGAAACTAAATCTTATCTTGTTCTCTGTGGTATATATATATATACCGTTGAGTAATTCTGACCAGTTTTATGTCATTAAATTAGTTTTCTTTTAACTGTATAAATTTCTACTTTAGTGTCTGTATATTGAATGGGATGTATAATATAGAAGACAGAATTATATGTAATAGATGGTATTACTAAATTGGTGATCAAACCTTGTGGAGTAAATATTTAAACCTGATTTCTTATGAACAATTAACATTGCTCCCAGATAAAATTCATTTTTATATTTTAATAAATTTCTCTTTTTGTGGTATCCTTACTAAATACATTCAAGAATGAATAATTCATTATTACTGCAGATTTTTAGAAAGAGTTCTCCATCCCTTATTTTTTTAGTAACCAAAAGTTACACATACATCAAATGTATCAAGTGTAGGCTACTTATGCTCAACATGCACAAATATAATTTTTCAGCTGCTGGATAAGGAAGGAGGAAAAAACCATATACTTAGGTAATTTTGTCTTCTGGTACCAGAAGTTATGGCTAGTACTAATAAAATGGATTAATAGATATACAGACATACAATTGATCATTTATAAATATCAGCAACATTCACCCTGCTGAGAATATAATTATCTTGTTGGTTAACACATCACCTTAAGAATATTATTTTATTTTCCTCTTTGACTTAATTTAGAACTATTTCCTCAGTTAATCTGCAGTACTGTACTCTGGTTGGTTATTGGCATTAAGAGAACAAAATTACACTTCACTTCAGTGCTATAGAGAAGGAGCTGAAACTTTACACATCTTTGTGTAAGTCACATGGTCTGTGAAATCAGTGTCTGTTAATATTCTATTCTTGATTGTCTTGTTGTGGGATCCAGGAAATATATGAAAATTGCTGGGGTAATTAAACAATGATAAAGCCTTTCAATTCCTATAAAAACTCAGTAAGTCAGTGGTTGAGCCCAAACCCATTAACATGAAGGAAATACTCAATAATCAGCCTGGAATTTAATTGTTAATTTAGCAACAACAGTATGAACAGGAATTTCAATAATTTCAGTTTTCAGTAATATATGAAAAGACTGGTTCATGAAACCAAGGGTTAGAATAATATTGATGGCTTAAAATCCAGTTACTAATATAGAACCCAAATAAAACAAGGGAGAGGAAACTGGGGAGTTGTTCAATGGGTATAAGGTTTGTATGAAAAATGAATAAATTCTAGAGATCTGCTGTACAATATAGTGCCTGTAGCTAACAATAATGTACTGCACATTTAAAAAATTGTTGAGAGTAGATCTCATGTTATGTGTTTAAATAAATAAATAAATAAATAAATAAATAAATAAATAAGAAAGCTAAGAGCTTCGTGAAGCTATCTATGGTAATGGCAATATGCCAGGTTAAATAAAGTTGCTTTCAGAAAAATTTTCTCAGATGTTAAGAAAAAAATATTTTCACTATATTGTATATCAGAAAACAACTTTAATCATTATTGTCAGTCACCGTTTCCCTCATTTCAGTGATTGAAATGGAATACCCATGCAACCTGAAGTTAGGCTTTAAAAAGAGCCAGTATTATTAGCCTAAACCTTTGAAAATGTCGGAATCCAGTTTTAAGTCTCAAAAAACATATACTTTATCTTTTTAATTTATCTAGAATTTCTTCAAATATCACACCCAAAAATAATAAAAGCTATACTTCATTTAACATTATTTTCACTTTGACTTATGAATAATGCAATCTTTTGACAAAGTACTATTTTTTAACCCTTTAATACGTATTTGATTAGGTATAAACAACAGTTGTCACCAAATAGCCTACTACCTTCTTCCGCTACTTCCATATTTTTTATTGAAAATAAACATTTGAAAAACTGCATTATCATTAAATATATTTTAACATCGAGCTAGAAAGTTATCATCAAAACTTTATCATGTTCGAATGTGAAAATATTTTGCTATCTTAGAAACTGGCTTGCTGAAAAGAGTATGATCTGCCATAAGTTGAATTTTCCTTGTAACGCAATTGTAAAAAAATTACCAGTTTTGTACAATGCTGATGACTTGGAAATTAGAAATACATAATGTAAATTGAGGGTAAATTTTCTTTAATTTTATCAAATTGTTTTTTCCTAATTGTATACCAAATGATTCAAAATATATCTGAAAAATACAAGCTTGGAAAAATCGATAGGAAACTAATTTTATAATGGTGAGAAAGTTAATATAAAAGTAGCTTATAACATGTACATTTGCATGAACATTTATTTTACAATTAACATATGATATTTTGTTACATGTTTGTTTAGATAAAAGACTCCTCTTACAAATATTATTATTTTTTTAAAGTAAGCTTTATGCTCAACATGGGCTTGAACTCATGACTCTGAAATCAAGAGTTGTATGCTCTACCAACTGAGCCAGCCAGGTACCCCTATTTTAAAAAATTAATAGTAATTGACTATTTCTATTTATACATAAAGACAAATTATTAACCCAAAGAATTACTGTTTATAAGATAAATTCAAAACAACTTCATCTTTTTTGGCTAAAATAAAAATATCTCCTTAATATATACATAGGACTGCAAGTATGAATCACTGGAAAACTATAAACACTTTTTGTTAGTGAGTCCTTAAATAGGAAATGTCTTACTGGGCCAGCTTAAAGTAAGATTTGTTTTAGGGGGAAAAAAAAGAAAAGAACCTTTCAAACATAAGTAATTTATAGAGATCATGGTATTTAAGTAAATTATATACATAGGACTTCAATTGTGAATCATCAGAAAACTGTAAACACTTCTTATTACTGAGTCTTTAAACAGGAAATATGTTATTGGGACAGCTTAAAATAAGATTCGTTTAGGAAAAAAAAAAGGAAAGAACCTTTCAAGTGTATGTTATTTACAGAGATCATGGTATTTGATTAAATATTAGTTTAATAAGAATTTATTTATATGCCAAAAATACTCTAATCACATTGGAAAATGGAAGTGATGCAAAATGCAATAGTAAAAAAAATGAATAGTGGGAGGACAGAAAGGAAAAAATCCATCAGACTGTAGGATAAACAATAATTTGGAAATTGTTTGCATAGGATGTAAACCTGCTCCATGACAAGGAAGTATGAGTTAAACAGGCCTAAAGACTGGGGCGCTTGGGTGGCTCAGTCAGTTAAGCCTCCGACTTCGGCTCAGGTTATGGTCTTGCGCTCCGTGAGTTTGAGCCCCGCGTTGGGCTCCGTGCCGACAACTCAGAGCCTAGAGCCTGTTTCAGATTCTGTGTCTCCCTCTCTCTCCGACCCTCCCTCAGACCCTCCCTCGTTCATGCTCTGTCTCTGTCTCAAAAATTAAAAAAAAATATATAAAAAATAAATAAATAAACAGGCCTAAAGAAGTATAGCAAGGACTCAATTTTGGTAGTTGGATGGTGTGATCAAAACCACAGGAAAGAAGCCGACATGTTCTGTTGACAAAGGTACAACTTACACTGTCAAAGTGTTCACTGTCTAGTGAACTAGATTATTGTTATCTATTGTACCTACATATTGTTACTGGATTATAGTTAACTGTTATCAATTAAAAATCTGTTAAGTGGTATACTGAACATATGCAATAAAGAAACCAATCTAACAGAAGCAGATTCACTTACTAAATACACACGTATGGAGGATCTGCTATGCCCAGTCACTGCACTCATCTCTAAGAATAAATCGGTCAACGTGAAAGGCAGTGCCTCTACTCTCAAAGAACTAATATCTAAAGTGATTGCTTTTACCAATTT